TTTTAATATTACACAGAATTTATATACACTAAAATAACTCAAAATTTTTAATTAATTAATAATCTCATTATTGTGAATCATTAAATAAATTCCTAATGTTAAATACACAAATAGAAAGAAAATATATAAATCAATATTATAATTCATAGTATAAATAGAAATGTGATTTTATATTGAACAATATATATAAGAAATACATATTTCATAGGTTCCAAAAAATGATATGTCATTTGTAAGATGTGCTATTTAAGAAAGTATTTACTAACAAAAAATAAATAAATTTTTTAATATTTCATTATTTTATTATGATCATGTAAATAATGTGTTATTTCAAGCATATATAAAAACTTTTCCATTATTTAATGAATTTTTTATATTAAAAAAAATATTTACTATCTCATCACAAAATATATATAATATAATTTATAGAAACACAGTGAGAACATAATATTTATTATTACAAATATTAACATATACTACAAAGATACCTATATTTTTTAAATACATAGATAAATATTTACAAATTAAATTATTTTGTACGAATACTCAATATTAAAAAATATATAAATCATCATTATTTGTAATTTCAAAAATTCGGATATAAAAAAAGAAAAACAAATAAAATCCAGATTTACTAACAAACACAACAATAATGCTTGTCATATAATAATGAAATGAATTTTGAATTTATTAAAAAAAGAATGAAAAAAAATAAATGTCATAAAATATGATATATACATAAATAAATATGAATAGCATAAATAAAATCTATTAATGTAGACATATATATAATGTAAATATAACAAAAAACTGAGCACTAATACCGTATACCCTATATTCTTAACTTTAAAACCTGAAAAATTTGTATATAACTTATAATATTATGTTACATCGCTCCTTGTTCCCACACCGAGTGTTATATTATATTAAAAAATTCATTCATTTTATTCATATGATTTAAGTATAAATAACGCAAATTAAGAAAGTTTAATTTAATAGTTTCCTATCCATTTTAATATATTATTATTGATATTACAAAATCTTTGAATATAATCCAGTTCAGTCAAAACTTTTATATTCGTAAAATTAGGTTATATATACTAATGAAATAAAAACAATAAAAACTTAAGCAAAATGTTTTATACATATATTCTAGTCAACAGAACATATTATTTTTACTCATACTTTTTCCTTATTGAGTAGATTATTAATATGATATAACTTTTATACATAAATATAACATTGATATTATATTTTAGCAAATAATATTTTATTATTTTAATGTTAGGTATCTATTTTTCTCGCATGACCTGAATTATACCAGATAACATATTTCATGTTACATCTTCCACATAAAGTATTTTATGATCCAAAATAATTAATCATATATTAAGAGAATGGCATTAATAAATGAATATTCTAATAAAAATAATTTATGGATCATACTTTCATAGTAACGTGTGACCTAATATTCACAATTTCATATATATTTCTCGTAAGCATAATAATTTTTTTTAGATATAAATATAATAGTATAACTTATGGGCATAAATATTGTACATTGAAACCACAAAAATATAAATTACAATATATTAGCATTTTATTATTCCTTAAATTTTGTAAAATATCGCTCAAAATAACACTATTTTTAAATATAATTTTTTTTTCTCTTTAGTATGAATTGGTTAAGAAATTTACTTCTTGCAAAAACATTACAGAAGGATATAATGAACAAAATGAGAACACGTATCAAACTGAATGCAATGAATCTAATGAAATTTTTTCAGATACTTCTAAATTTAATGATGAAAAAATATGCCACAAATCTATGTACTATTTAAATGAAATACAAGGGAATTATCCTGGTAAAGAAGATGCCGGTTGTATATACTTGTATTACTGGTTATATGATCATTGTAAGGAAGAATGTGAGAGCGCAGAAATAATAGATATTTATAATAATTTGATCAATAAATATGAAGACCAAAATGGTACTGTGTGCACAGAATATAAGAAAAATAATATTTCTAAATATGAATTTGACAAACTGAAAGATATATATGATCTAAATAATAAACTTGAAAGTGATGCAAATAATTCTGAATATTGCAGTAAATTCAAGAGCATATATGTGAAACGAAAGGATGAATGTGATTATAATGCACAGTCAGACTTTTGTAGTGTATTAGAAGAATATAGAAATAAATACAATGAAAAAGTAGCCACTTTACGTTCGAACACCTTTGAATACCAAATATTACCCCCCTTCAAAGGATATAATATAATAGCTTATATATATGTTCTATTAGTTTTAATATTAATAATAGTATTTCTTTTATTCGCTGTGTATAAGGTTAGTTACAATATAATTTATATTATTATGATATATAATAATTTTCATAAATAATTTGAAAATATAAAACTCATAATAACGAAACTACATTATTAATTTATATATTTATTTTAATTTTGAGTTAGTTCACAAAATTTGGTTCATTTTTGCATCGAAAAATAATAAGAAATAAATATATCCAGAGGAGTATAGATGAAGGGATAAATGCACATTATTATTCATTAATATCCAACAAAATATCAAGAGAGAGCAAATGTAATATATTATAAATTACGATAATTGTTAATATTAAATGTATAATTAATTAAAAAATATATTTTAATAAAATATAGAGATTTGCAAGGCAATTCTATGTAGAATGATTCTCTATAT